AAATTTAAATTTTATGTTTTTAAATGGGGCTCTGGTGTTGACAGTCAGATAAACGATCTCTTTGAGTGACCCTGAAGGCAGCATGATAAGCCGGAGCTCTTCGTCGATATCCGTGCCCCTTCGTTCTCGCCTCCTGATTGGTCCGCTCGGCTTCGTGACTCTGGACGTGCCCGCTCCAGAGAGTCACCTTGCCCCGGCTGCTGCAGCTGCTGTACCGGGTAGAAAGCAGGTGCTCCGTCCGGCTCACAGGCTCCAGGGGAAGGCAAGGCAGGCGGGAATCTGACCGGGGACTGTGTCGGCACTGACAGACCAGGGGGAACATGGCGGACGCAAAGCCCAAGACCTCCCCGAAGGCGATCAAGTTCCTGTTCGGGGGTCTGGCCGGGTACGTGCCGCTGCTAGCTCCGATGCTAATGTGCTAACGTTAGCGGTCAGGAGCTGAACGGAGGAGTTACCAAAGTTCAGGAAGAACTAAACTGGCATGTCGGTAACTAACAGGTTATTAAAGAGGGATTAGAGAGGAGAACTAAAGAATATAAACATATAACAGAACCGTCCTGTTAGTCTGGTTTATGCGGCTCCTGTTAGCAGCTTAGGGCCGGTGTTATGTCAAAGTCTGTTCCCTCATCGATCGGTGTCCCCTGAAGTTAACCCTTCTCTGACTCAGGACTGAAAACAGGCTCTAAATCAAAGTGAACCTTTATCTGCGCGCGCTGCAGAGGACTCTGGTCGAACCGGACCCAGACTGTGACACACCCCCGGTGTTCTGAAGAACTTTGCTCCCATAGCTGCAGAGGACCAGACCAGCTCTGTTTGATTTGACACACCTTCACCTGGAGGCTGTTCGTGTTAGACAAGATAAACACCTGCCAGGGGCGGCTCCACGGTGGGACAGGGGTGGCCGGGAGCGATTTTTTTATATTTTGTAGGATGTTTTATTTTGGCTAGAAGTGCTGGGCTCTGATTGGTTTTTCTTTATGGCTGTGAAACGTCATCGTCTGTCGGGTTAGGTTTATGCCGCGTTCGAGTTTCCTCGGAAGTCAGATGTCGGAGCTGAAAATGTCGTCACCTGAGTTCCCAGCGTTTCAGTTACAAAGTCGGAAAAAACAAAATCGGAGGCAGAAACAAGATGGCTGCATCTACGAAAGTTATTTTGGCGCTTGCCGTGTCCAAATATAAGCGAAGTGCTAAAATATCTTTCGTAGATGTAGCCATCTTGTTTCTGCCTCCGATTTTACTTTCTTTCGACTAGTTAACGGAAACGCCGGGAACTCGGGTGTGACGTCATTTTCAGCTCCGACATCTGACTTCGAGGAAATTTAAACGCAGCATTAGGGTTAGAAGGTTCGGAAGTGCGATAATGTTCTGTCCGATGTACGGAGTCGACGGCCCGCGCTCGGCTTGAGCCTGTGATGACATTTCCAGCTTTTCTAGCCAATCAGAGGTGAAGGAGGCTGGAGCATCATACAGCGTTGTTTTTGTCCGACATGATGGACGCGCTACTTTTTCTGCAGATGAGACCAACGCTACTCCTCTACTCTGGGGTTTTTGTCTCGTGGTTACGGGGGCGTGGCGTCATACTCCGACTACGCTGGTTACATGGTAGAGAAAATCGCATTCCAATTCTCAGAATCCGATCAGAGTTTTCAAAGCCCGATTATAGTCAGACTAAGGTGTTTACGTGAACTTCAGTTGTCCTGTATTAATCGGAATAAGGCGATAATTCGTTTTTCTCAAGTGTCATGGAAACGTACTGAGGTCAGACGGTACCGATGTAAAGATTGATCTACCTGTCCGTCTGCAGGATGGGTGCGACGGTCTTTGTGCAGCCGCTGGATCTGGTGAAGAACAGGATGCAGCTGAGCGGTCAGGGTACGAAGGCGCGAGAGTATAAAACCAGCTTCCACGCGCTGTTCTCCATCCTGAGGAACGAGGGAGTGGGGGGCATCTACACCGGGTAACATGCACCTGACAACGCACCTCAAACCTGACAACGCACCTCACATCTGACAACGCACCTTACACCTGACAACGCACCTCACATCTGACAACGCATCTGAAAATGCACCTTACACCTGACAACACACCTGACAACACACCTTACACCTGACAACGCACCTGACAACACACCTTACACCTGACAACGCACCTCACACCTGACAACGCACCTCACACCTGACAACGCACCTCACACCTGACAACGCACCTGACAACGCACCTCACATCTGACAACGCACCTGACAACACACCTTACACCTGACATGCACCTGACAATGCACCTCACACCTGACAACGCACCTGACAACGCACCTCACATCTGACAACGCACCTGACAACGCACCTCACACCTGACAACGCACCTGACAATGCACCTCACACCTGACAACGCACCTTACACCTGACGAAACACCTGACAACGCACCTCACACCTGACAACGCACCTCACACCTGACAACGCACCTGACAACGCACCTCACACCTGACAACGCACCTGACAACACACCTCACACCTGACAACGCACCTCACACCTGACAACGCACCTCACATTTGACAACGCACCTCACACCTGACAACTCACCTGACAACGCACCTCACACCTGACAACGCACCTTACACCTGACGAAACACCTGACAACGCACCTTACACCTGACGAAACACCTGACAACGCACCTCACACCTGACAATGCACCTCACACCTGACAACGCACCTGACAACGCACCTTACACCTGACATGCACCTCACACCTGACAACGCACCTGAAAATGCACCTTACACCTGACAACGCACCTCACACCTGACAACGCACCTCACACCTGACAACGCACCTCACACCTGACAACGCACCTCACATTTGACAACGCACCTCACACCTGACAACTCACCTGACAACGCACCTCACACCTGACAACGCACCTTACACCTGACGAAACACCTGACAACGCACCTTACACCTGACAACGCACCTCACACCTGACAACGCACCTCACACCTGACAACGCACCTCACACCTGACAACGCACCTGACAACGCACCTTACACCTGACAACGCACCTCACACCTGACAACGCACCTCACACCTGACAACGCACCTCACACCTGACAACGCACCTGACAACGCACCTCACACCTGACAACGCACCTGACAACGCACCTTACACCTGACAACGCACCTTACACCTGACATGCACCTCACACCTGACAACGCACCTGAAAATGCTCCTTACGCCTGACAACGCACCTCACACCTGACAACGCACCTCACACCTGACAACGCACCTCACATTTGACAACGCACCTCACACCTGACAACTCACCTGACAACGCACCTCACACCTGACAACGCACCTCACACCTGACAACGCACCTCACACCTGACGAAACACCTGACAACGCACCTCACACCTGACAACAAACTTGACAACATACCTGGAAACACACCCGACAACACACCTTGATGTTTTCTCAAACCCTTGTTCTGTGTTTACCTCCTCCCTGGTGCCTCACACCTGACCCCGGTGCTGTCCTCTGATTGGACCGTTGTTTCTCCTTCTCTTCGTCGTGGCGTCTCTCCGTCTCAGGTTGTCGGCGGGTTTGTTGCGTCAGGCGACGTACACGACGACCCGTTTAGGAATTTACACCATCCTGTTTGAGAAGATGACGGGAGCGGACGGGCGGCCGCCGAACTTCTTCCTCAAGGTAAATCAGCGTTAATGCCGTCACATGACCTGAAGGAGGTCGCAGGTGAAGAAGTCCTGACTGTGTGTGCTCCCCCTGCAGGCTCTGATCGGTATGACAGCCGGAGCGACAGGAGCGTTTGTGGGAACACCAGCAGAGGTCGCTCTGATCAGGATGACGGCCGACGGACGGTGAGACACACAAACACACTAACACACACAGACACACACAGGTGAACAGTGCCACCTGCAGGATGAAGTGTGTACTTCAGCGTGTAATTTAATAATTCTCTGTCTCCCTCGCCAGCCTCCCCGCCGATCAGAGGAGAGGATATACGAATGTTTTTAACGCTTTGGCTCGGATCACCAAAGAAGAAGGCGTGACCACGCTGTGGAGGGTGAGACGGCGTTTGTGACGGACCGGAGAGTCCACGATCGTTAACACAAAGATCGTCTTTTTATACCGTTTGACGACTTTTCTGTTCTTAAACTTTACTCTGAAAATCTCACCGATCTTCTTAACCAGACTTTTATTTTGTAGGGGTGTGTTCCCACCATGGCTCGAGCCGTGGTCGTGAACGCCGCTCAGCTGGCGTCCTACTCTCAGTCCAAACAGGCGCTGCTCGACTCAGGTACAGACACACACTCTCACACACACACAGACCGAGACACACACAGACAAAGACACAAACAGACACACACACCCACAGACACACACACCCACAGACACTCACACACACACACACACAGACACACACACACACACACACACACAGACACACACACACACACACACACACACACACACACACCCACAGACACACAAACACACACTCACACACACAGCACAGACAAAGACACACAGACACACACATACACACACACACACACACACCTACAGACACACACTCCCACACACACACAGAGACACACACACAGACACAGACACACACAGACACACACACACACACTCACACACACAGCACAGACACACACAGACACACACACTCACACACACAGCACAGACATAGACAAAGACACACAGACACCCACAGACACACACACACACACAGAGACACACACACAGACACACACAGACACACACACACACACTCACACACACAGCACAGACACACACAGACACACACACACACACACTCACACACACAGCACAGACACAGACAAAGACACACAGACACACACAGACACACACACACACACTCACACACACAGCACAGACACACACAGACACACACACACACACACTCACACACACAGCACAGACACACACAGACACACACACACACACACTCACACACACAGCACAGACACAGACAAAGACACACAGACACCCACAGACACACACAGACACCCACAGACACTCACACACACACTCACACAGACTCTGTCACAGGTGGTGACTCCATATTTACCTGTCCAGCTAATTGGGGGCGGGGCTTCCCTGTGTGTGTGTGTGTGTGTGTGTGTGTGTGTGTTTGTTTTCAGGGTACTTTGGGGACGACATCCTCTGTCACTTCTGTGCCAGTATGATCAGCGGGCTGGTTACCACGGCAGCATCCATGCCTGTGGACATCGTGAAGACCAGGTGAGACAGAGACGGACCAAGGGTTAGACAGGTGAGGGAGTCCAGGAGGTCAGGTGACCCATCTAAACCATGTGTGTGTGTCTGTGTGTGTGTGTGTGTGTCTGTGTGTGTGTGTGTGTGTGTGTGTGTTTCAGGATCCAGAACATGAGGATGATTGACGGGAAACCAGAGTACAAGAACGGTTTGGTGAGTTTACCTCTTGGACCGTTCTTCAGGTGGACCTGTTCTCTCTTGTCTGCGTGGTTGTCCTGATGATGATGCGTTTCCTGTTTCCTGTTTCCTGTTTCCTGTTTCAGGAGGTCTTGTTGAAGGTGGTGAGGAACGAAGGATTCTTCTCCCTCTGGAAAGGTTTCACTCCGTACTACGCTCGCCTCGGACCGCACACAGTCCTCACCTTCATCTTCCTGGAGCAGATGAACCGCCTGTACAAGACCTACGTCCTGGACCGCTAACACACACACAGACACACACACACAGACACACACACACAGACACACACACACAGACACACACACACAGACACAAAAGGACTCGGTGTGTTTCTGATCTTCACATTTCTCCTCCTGATAGACGACAGTGTTGATGAAAAGGTGTACTGTTCCTTTAAGAGATTTACGTGATGTGTCTGAGCGTGTGTGTGTGTGTGTGTGTATGTGTATGTGTATATGTGTGTGTGTCTAAACACATGCACATACACACACACGACTTACTAGTTTATATAAATATGAATGAGAGTCGTGTTTGAACTGGACTGACACACTGACCTGACAAAGTACAGCACAACACACACACACACACACACTCACATGCACACACAGACACACACTCACATGCACACACACACTCACAGACACACTCACACACAGACACACACACACACTCACACACACAGAGCTCTTTTTCTAAGAACGTCCTGAATAAATAAAATCATGTTACTCATTAAAAAGTCTTATTTGTGAAATCACCCCCCCCCCCCCCCCATGTAAACAGAGTATTATGGGATGGCTGCTTGGTTACCATAGTAACAGCCGTTAAACCTCCCATGGAGTTGTGAATAAACACTTTGAACCTCCAGTTTGTTTTTTTTATCGTCTTTTCAAACACCGAGGATTTTCGGATCGGACTCATCGGCGCCCCCAACAGGCGGGGGAGGGGGGACTTCTGCTGACTCAGCAGAGTTCGGTACCGGTACCGGTCCGGACTCGGATCAGACAGAGGAGATGTCAGGTGTTGTGGTTCTGAGTGTCCAGCAGGGGGCAGCAGCAGACTTGACACAAACCCAGACCTCCTCACTCAGACCGGGTTCTGCAGGGTTCTGACTGAACACCAGGGGGCGCCGTTTCCCCGCTAACGTTAGAGTGAGTTTGTCTGGAACATTCTCAGACAGGAAGTGGGAGGAGTCTCTGCTGTAACCTCATTAAGACACGCCGCCGCCGCACTTCCCCGTGTGATAGGGTTAAGAAAATACACAAATACAGACACACACAACGACTTCCTGAAGATTTCAACCTGATACCAGAACAAAAGTTCTGACAGGGAAACAACCAAACGGGTCCAAAGTTCAGAACCTGCTGCTCAGCTGATCACGCTGACAGGAAGTGGACCAACAGTTGGTCTGCGGTGATGAAACGACAACAGGAAGTCAGGTGTGTGTTGTGAAAAGTGTTTTAAACAGGAAGTGTGTGTGTGTGTGTGTGTGGGGTGACAGGAAAAGGGGGCGTGGTCTCTGAAGGAGACGCAGTGTGTCGGCGGTTGGCGGTTTTATTTTGAAAAAGGTGATCAGAGAGAGAAACGCACAGAACCTCAAGAACAGAACCGAGAGGGTTCGGACCAGGGTCTGATTTTCAAAATAAAAGCCTCCGTTTAAACAGAGGTCCATCAGAAACACATATTCAAGTCCACACTCTGCTTTACCTTAAAAGGACACACACACACACACACACACACACAAAGACACACACACACACACACACACACACAGTAGACGCCACTTCCTTTCTCTCACTTTGACTTCTTTCATCTTGACTCAAAAAACAACCTAAAGTTTCTGTGTGTGTGTGTGTGTGTGTGTGTGTGTGTGTGTGTGTGTGTGCGACACAGTGACTGTGACAGTTTGCACTTCCTGTCCTCCTTGCTCTTCTTCTTCTTCTGCCTCCATAAATGGCAGCAGCAGCAGCTCACAGGGTGACGAGTGATGATCTTGAGCAGCAACACAAA